ATATATATATATATATATATATATATATATATATATATATATATATATATATATATATATATATATATGTGTATATAAATATAATTCTATAACATCCCCTGGTAGATGGGATCCGTTAACCTTGGATGGCAACTCATGTAAGAGAAGGAAACTCTGAATCCAGACACGGCTAAGAAGCCCCATAGCTGATATGACGCTAATACAATTAAAAATTCCGACAACTCCTGCGACGCAACTGTTGCCAAGCTTTATCATCTATACATGGTGTTCCCTTGGGCTGTCCAGGTGCGTGGAGAGGGGCGACTTGCTGTCTAGGTGAAGCAGCTTATACTCCTAAAGGTAACGTCCCAGGCCTTGTTATTTCGTCCTGTGAAATCTACACAATCGTCACATTGTGACGGACGGATGCCATAATAGTAATCTCATAATCTTTCTTTTTTTTTTTTAAATTCTTCACAACAACCAGAAATATGGTCTACCGCCATACACCATACAGGCAACACGTGAACACTACATTGACCAATCAGTGTCCACCTTGAATACAATGCTGTCTTCCCACTGTCTTGTGTATTTGACGCCGTTATCATTGTATTTTAAATTATCATTGACAGGTGACAGGGGAAAATCTTTGTACAAAATAAATGACTAATTCACACATTTACTCCTACGAATCAATTAACAGTTTAAAAAAAAAAAAATTAAAAAAATTATTATTAATTTTTTTTTTTTAATTTCATAAAAAATCTTTTTTTTTTTCAATTTAAAATAAAAAAAAAAAAAAAAGCTAACATCACTATATCACTTTAAAAAACAGATCACCAAGTTAACAACGCATGTATCACATACAAGTATTTAAATTTTACCTTACCGTGTGCTACTTCAAAGCGCCAGGCTCACAATGAGGCAGAAGCTTCAAAGAGGGAACATGTGACCCAATGAAGTTCACTTCATTTTAGGACCGAAAAAGAATGTCCACTCCCCTACGCTACCCCATTCACCCCCACCCCACACACGCACAATTTACGATTCGTTTATTATATTTATATCTCGGATTGCCAGGGTCTTTATTTCAGAGATTCTAAAACGTGTATCCATGGCCCCACCATCGTACTTATTTTGTAATAACTTAAAATCTTCTTCTTCGATCGCGAAAAGATCAAACGTCTTTGATCGCGAAAAGATCAAATTTCTTTGACCACGCAAAGATCAAACTTCTTTGATTACGATAGATGAAACTTCTTTGATCACGAAAAGATCAAACTTATCTGATTACGATAGATGAAACTTCTTTGATCACGCAAAGATCAAACTTCTTTGATTACGAAAAGATCAAACTTTTTTTATCACGCCAAGATCAAACTTCTTTGATCACGAAAAGATCTAAATTCTTTGATCACGGAAAGATCAAATTTCTTTGATCACGAAAAGATCAAATTCGTTTGTTTTTGTTTTCTATTTTTACAGTCTTTAATTAAAAATAAATCAATACATTTTTCATGTTGGTACTGTCACAAGACTTCTAGAATTTAGCCACACCCACTACCTTGTGAGGACCACTGATAAAGTAAATATTTTTCAACCCTTAACAAAAAAACACAATTGGGGGCAGGGGGGGACAGATGTCCCCGGGCGCAAGCTAGTTAGGGGCGCCAAAATGTGCTTCGATATTATATTATTGGTAAAAAATAATGGGTTTGAGAGTTGAAAAAAAGAAAAGGGGGCGCTTTAAAATGGATCTTGTCCCAGGGCGCGAATCTTGTCCCCGGGCGCCAAACACCCTCGCTACGCCACTGTAGGACTCCAACCACTAAATCCGTTTTTTTTTGTATTGCAATATCCACTTATTAGGCATACCAGTCATTTAAGGCGTGTCTAAGATGCATTGTTATGTTTCAAACGGTGGGGTTTTGTCGGTCTGGGTCTGAGAGTACGAAGATTTTTTTCATTCGGATATATAATAATGACGTCATGAAGCACATACAATGGAACTAATTAAACATTTCTATGGACAATTATCTTGTTTTCAACTCCACTGTTTTCAATCAATCAAACCAAATTTTCACAGGTTTAGAAGACATTTTAATAAAATATAGTTTATTATAGTCTATGAACAATGAAATAGGATGGCAAATAATGGTGTGATGACATAGATATGGGATTTTGCAAGAATTTAGCGTTTTGAAATATTTAAAATTATGAAAACATAAAAAGTTGATGATTCGTGTCCCAAGGCTTAAAATACGACCGACATGTGTAACTTTCTTTTCATGTATACATCAATAGTTTTTTTTACGCCGATCTGTCAAAGGTTGTGTAAGGATGGTCGGGGTGGTCAAGGTGGCCGCGTTGGTCAGGGTGACCGGGGTGGTCAGGGGGGTCAATGCGGTTAGGGTGGCCGGGGTGGCAGGGTGACCGGGGTGGTCAGGGGGGTCAATGCGGTCAGGGTGGCCGGGGTGGTCGGGGTGACCGGGGTGGTCAGGGTGGTCAATGCGGTCAGGATGACCGGGGTGGTCAGGGTGGTCAATGCGGTCAGGGTGACCGGGGTGGTCAGGGTGATCAATGCGGTCAGGGTGGTCGGGGTGGTCAGGGTGGCCGGGGTGGTCAGGGTGGTCAGGGCGGTCAGGGTGGTCGGGGTGGTCAAGGCGGTCAGGGTGGCCGGGGTGGTCAGGGTGGTCAAGGCGGTCAGGGTGGTCGGGGTGGTCAGGGTGACCGGGGTGGTCAGGGTGGTCAATGCGGTCAGGGTGGCCGGCGTGGTCAGGGTTGAAGAAATGAATTAGCTTATGGCAGCTGTCAGCTAGAAATACTGAGTGATCCTTAGAGTCAGGTGTAGTGGCATGTAGGAGGTTGTAGTGGCGTGTAGGAGCTTGTAGTGGCGTGTAGTTTGAGATTCTAGAAGACAGAAAGTGAAACAATTGATATCTTATTCTTCTTATTTATCTTAAGGGCCCAAGATCAATGTATTGTTCAATCTAGTATATCTGCTCTAAGTTGACAACTTCTAGGAATACGTTATCAGTTTGTAATCGGTTCCCCAGGCGAAACGTATAATAAGCAGTCTCACCGCAACCAATGCAAGATATGTGTAACCAGTGATTCTCAATTTCGTCACTGACTTGGTCCGGCAAGAAAAGTGGTTATTGTGTTAGAGATCATTGCAGCCTCATTGAATATTCTATGTGTGGATGTTTTCAATTTTAATCACGTTGACTGAGGCCTAACAGACGGCTCCCTGGCTTGTGCATCTCTTGTACTATGTCGACAGTTGACTGAGGCCTCACAGACGGCTACCTGCCTTGTGCGTCTCTTATACTATGTCGACAGTTGACTGAGGCCTCACAGATGGCTCCCTGCCTTGGGCGTCTCTTACACTATGTCGACAGTTGACTGATGCCTCACAGACGGCCCCCTGCTTTATGCGTCTCTTATACTATGTCGACAATTGACTGAAGCCTCACAGACGCCCCCCTGCCTTGTGCGTCTCTTATACTATCAGGGTCAATCTTAAGTCTATACACAAATACGTTTTTCTCAGGCTTGATAAGAGCGCGACTTTCCTTTTTGTCGTAGCCGTCCAAAGATCTCGGTCTTGTCGTAGCCGTCCAAAGATCTCGGTCTTGTCGTAGCCGTCCAAAGATCTCGGTCTTGTCGTAGCCGTCCAAAGATCTCGGTCTTGTCATAGCCGTCCAAAGATCTCGGTCTTGTCGTAGCCGTCCAAAGATCTCGGTCTTGTCGTAGCCGTCCAAAGATCTCGGTCTTGTCGTAGCCGTCCAAAGATCTCGGTCTTGTCATAGCCGTCCAATGATCTCGGTCTTGTCGTAGCCGTCCAAAGATCTCGGTCTTGTCGTAGCCGTCCAAAGATCTCGGTCTTTTAGCCGTTCAAAGATCTCGGTCTTGTAGCCGTTCAAAGATCTCGGTCTTGTCAAAGCCGTCCAATGATCTGGATCATGGCACAGTCACCCAATAATAATATCGGTATGCCTCTGTATACGAATATACTTCGGCCCTAACGAATTGCGGATTATGGGGGCCATCCATAAATGGCTTCACGCTATTTTTTTTAAAGCCTAACCCCCCCCCCCTTTTAAACCCTCCCCCCCCCTCAAATCGTCACAAAAATGCCTGCATCCCCACCCACCCCAGCCCCCCCCCAGCCCCATAGGTGTGTGACGCCATTTACTGGCTGGCTACAAACAGCCCAAACCTATTGTTCAATAAAACCTTCAAGGTTCAGATATTTGAGCTCTTCAATGTTCTTGTATTACCTTCCTTGTCGTGGTGTTGGCGTTTCAGCGATGATCTCCCCTCTCCTCGTCCCTCCAGGCGGTCAAATTAATTGATGTAAAAAAATTGAGTCAAATGTAGCACACCTAGAGTGTCCACGGCACAAAAGTGAGATTACAAAAAGTTGTCCAAACCTGAGCAGGACAATCAAGGGCTGACTGATCCATTGAGACTGAATGAGGGACTAGCCATGTGCAGGATGGTGCGAGGAGGGTCAAAGGGGCAAGAGCCCCTCCCCCCCCCCCAATATCAGGGCTGGGGCGACAAAACTATCTATATATTTATATTTATAAATGGCCCTATATCACATATAATTTATTGCTGAAAACAAGGGGTGGAGGGGCGCCATTTTTAGGCTTCGCCCCGGGTAATGGCCACACTGTAGGTAGGGCGGTAGCACATCGTAAGGCGACTCAAATATGAAGAAGAAATCCATGAAAAATAATGTAAAAATAATTTGACTCATTTCCCCAATGTAAAAATAATGTGACAGCTTTCCTTAATACGCCAAAGATTCTCCGTTCGTTGGTCAGTTTGAGAAGATGGTGACGGCCAATGAAGACGCCCATGCCCGTTGCCTCGAAGGTAGGTCACGCCACTGACGATGATGGGGAGCGCCTGGCACACAGCCACCCCACGACGCCCCCGATGGCCACGACGATGCTCCCCACTAGGGTTAAAATGAAGGAATACCCCAGGTAGTTGATGCCGTCCGCAGTGTAGTGCTTGGCGCCCCACACGCTCAGGCTGACGACGTCACAAGCCACTGAAACAATATATTTATTCAAAAATCAAAATTTTATAACACATTTTACAGTGAAATAATTTGCAAAAGAGATTTGTTAAACATCTATTTTCCATTATAAAATGTAATATCGAGCATTTGGTGAGGGGGGTGGGGGGGTGGGGGTTTGGCGATGAACGTTTGAAAGAATGTGTAGTCATCGGTAATGAGTCTATGTGCCAAGTTTCAGCTCGATCGGTTGACGGGAAGTGGGTCAGTTAGTCGGCGGAAGGTCATGTCAGCTACCCAGCCACAAACAAAAGCAAAGTTAATATAAAGGATTTCAAAACAATCTATTTTTAAATGTAATGGACAAAACACTTTGAGCTCTTTCAAATGGCGATGCATTTTTTTTAATGAAATTAAATTTTGTTTAGGTGCCAATAAATGAGGAAAGCATTTCCAGTGACACTTTGATCTCTTGATTCAATCGTTTGATCTTACGGGACACTTTGATCTCTTGATTCAATCGTTTGATCTTACGGGACACTTTGATCTCTTGATTCAATCGTTTGATCTTACGGGACACTTTGATCTCTTGATTCAATCGTTTGATCTTACGGGACACTTTGATCTCTTGATTCAATCGTTTGATCTTACGGCGTTCTTTCGAGTGTGTCCATGACATAGCTGAATGCCACTAGTAACAAAAACAAGAAAAGGGGGTGGCCCATAAAGTACCTTACCCAGGGAGGGGGGAGGGGGGGAGTCTAAGAAAGTGTGACAGTTTGTGACCCGAAATAATGAAAAACTGAAATCAACTCTGCTGTTTAACTGATTGCGATGGATGTATTCTAACAGAAGATGTCACTTTTAACACATTTAGTAGTGTATTTTAAGTGTTAATTTTCAATTTCTTATTTGAGATCTCTAATGTGACGTATTTTATGGGGTGGGAATCAAAGATTTGTGACAGAGTGTGACAGGGCGTGACAAGGGGATTGGGGGCACGGGGGATCAAACCTAGTCAAAAAAAATCACGTGACGGCCCCATTAGGGAACCGCTCATCTATTTAACGAACGTTCCTTTGTTCTTGCGGAGAAATTTAAATATCATTCCCACCACCACCACCACCACCACCTCCCCAACCACCCCGGCCAACTGATTACCCGTGTAAGGAGGAATTCGCATTTGAACCGGTTTCCGGTTTCTGACAAAGCCTTCTTGATGGTTTCTTACGGCAGGCTCGGATAGAAATTGGATCTAGTAAGGTCTATTTTTAGAACTGTCAAATCAACTGTCTTCACGGATACATATTGATGGTACAGTTTTGTAACGACTTCTCAACTCTCTCCACTGATGCATATTGATGGTACAGTTTTGTAACGACTTCTCAACTCTCTCCACTGATGCATATTGATGGTACAGTTTTGTAACGACTTCTCAACTCTCTCCACTGATGCATATTGATGGTACAGTTTTGTAACGACTTCTCAACTCTCTTCACGGATACATATTGATGGTACAGTTTTGTAACGACTTCTCTCTTCCTCAAAATTTCTCGCCCGAAATGGCTCTTTATTATTTTAGTTTTGATATTCTAATTTTTTTCCCTTAAATAACTATCAATAACAAGAATGAAAAGACAAAACATGAAACTACAAATACGGTTTAAAACAATATTTCCCAAAAATGTCCTGAGAATGTAACATAAATAAAACCCAAAACATTACATTTTTACAGTTAGTTGCTTGACATTTAAAAAAAAAAAAAAGTAATGGTAGGGCCGCCCATGAACTCAACATTCTTTGCAAATCACAAAGGCGTGCTCGCAGCGGTATTGCCTATAGTTCATTCCACGTGGTCAAGGTCACATTCGATGGGAGCATACAACCGTCATGCGCGGCAGCTGTGAGAAACTCACATTTCCATTTCCACGATGAACAAATCTTTAACGTAACGATTGAACGATTGGGTCACATGACACCTGCTGGCCGCCAGGTAAAGGTAAGCACGGTTGCCACATTGAATTCGTCAAGTCACACAACCTCGGCTCAGTTGGCACTTCAAGGGTGAATGGAGGTCACTCAACATTACATTATTATTATTGGGTTTTGGATCGGATGTGGGTAAGGGTCCAAATTTTCTGTCCATTGGATATCAGGAAGTGGGTGAAAATTGTGATGAAAGATTTGACTCGCGGAGGTCACTCATGGTTAGGTGGAGGTCACTGAAGGTTAGGTGGAGGTCACTGGTGACCTTCTGATCATGAAAGCTTTTATTGTCATCGGAGGTGGGTAAGTGTACAAAGATTTAGCTTATCTGGGCCTCGGGAAGTGGGTCAAAATTGAGATGCACGATGTCACAACGAATGAACCAGCGAAAAAAGTGACAAATCAACAGGTGAACAGAGTGACAAATCAACAGGTGAACAGAGTGACAAATCAACAGGTGAACTGAGTGACAAATCAACAGGTGAACTGAGTGACAAATCAACAGGTGAACAGAGTGATAAATCAACAGGTGAACTGAGTGACAAATCAACAGGTGAACAGAGTGACAAATCAACGGGTGAACAGAGTGACAAATCAAAGGGTGAACAGAGTGACAAATCAACAGGTGAACAGAGTGACAAATCAACAGGTGAACAGAGTGACAAATCAACGGGTGAACAGAGTGACAAATCAACAGGTGAACAGAGTGACAAAGCAAAGGGTGAACAGAGTGACAAATCAACAAGTGAACAGAGTGACAAATCAACAGGTGAACAGAATGACAAATCAACAGGTGAACAGAGCGACAAATCAACATGTGAAGAGAGCGACAAATCAACCGACTATGAAAAGCGTTTAAGAAATGTTATCTTTAAATAGTGACAAAAAATAATTTGATAATTATTTTAGAAATTGATTATAGTTTATCTGTATTGGTAAGTCAAACCAAAATATATTTGGTTCAATAGTCCCAGTGAACGAAATAATGACCTAATCCTATATAAGAAACGGCCACGAGTTGACAGCGAATTGATGCATTCAACTACTGGTAGGCATTCTTAACGTACGTGCTATGACGCTTGTTGCCATGGCGACACGGGGAAGTAGTCGATGGGACTGTTTGCCCATGATCGGCAGCACAACGTGTAGTACGAAGAGGCCGATACAGAAGAGTCCCTCTACCATGGCGAGCAGGGTAAATGCTTGGCATACTTCTAGGCTAGCTGGGCGGAAACAAAAGAGAGAAAATTTTAGGTAAATGGCATGTGGGAATTACAATAATAGGAGCTATAAAATATATCAGACCGCCTTATGATTCATTCAATAATTTATATCATACTATCATGTTATCCTACTAGACTATCTGATACAATGTTTTAAAATTCTTATTTTTAGCCAGTGTAGTTTCAGTTTACTCCACTGCAGTTACGTTCATTTCTGCTTTAGTTGTTGAGCACTCTGACCTCCAAAGATCCCATCAACAAGTTATCTTAAGGGAGATAACCTTGGACTCCCCCACTCAACTAGGTGCGTTGTTTCATACAGATCGACTGTTGACAAGTACATGCATCGCAAGATTATCATTATCCGGAGCAGAGTGCAGGATACAGTATTGCCGCGTGTGTGGTGCAGGACACAGTATTGCCGCGTGTGTGGTGCAGGACATAGTATTGCCGCGTGTGTGGTGCGGGACACAGTATTGCCGCGTGTGTGGTGCGAGACAGCAGGAACGGGAGCCTGGGAACGCATAACAGACCGGACCTGAATAAACTTCAACATCACCCAGTACCCAGTCTTAGGCTTAGCATTATAAATCAATTCGTTTATAGTTATTAGTCGTTCTTGTTATGTTATCAGTCAAAAAACTTAGCATTAGCGTGGGTGTGTGGGTGTGTGATTGTATGTTTAGCGAGGGTGTGTGAGAGTGTGACTGTATGTACGTTAGCGAGGGTGTGTGGGAGTGTGACTTCCAGTCAGTCCGTATAGTGTACTTTCAGTCAGTCCGTAAAGTGTACTTCCAGTCAGTCCGTATAGTGTACTTTCAGTCAGTCCGCAAAATGTACTTCCAGTCAGTCCGCATAGTGTACTTTCAGTCAGTCCGTATAGTGTACTTTCAGTCAGTCCGTATAATGTACTTTCAGTCAGTCCGTATAGTGTACTTTCAGTCAGTCCGTATAGTCTACTTTCAGTTAGTCCGTATAGTGTACTTTCAGTCAGTCCGCAAAATGTACTTCCAGTCAGTCCGCATAGTGTACTTTCAGTCAGTCCGTATAGTGTACTTTCAGTCAGTCCGTATAATGTACTTTCAGTCAGTCCGTATAGTGTACTTTCAGTCAGTCCGTATAGTCTACTTTCAGTCAGTCCGTATAGTGTACTTTCTGAAATGGCTAGTGTTTGTCCTTAGCACGCAAAGTTGACCAGGGCTTCGACCTGGGTAATAGCTTTGACTTGAGCTGTGTTTTGTTTCAAGTGTAGGAGAGTTGTCAGTTCGTCAGCCTCACTCTCTCGTCCTTGCCTATTTGGTCCGAAGGCAAGACTCAGTCAAGACAACTGGGAGTAGACCAGGATGCAGTAGATGACCAGCAGTGTGTCTTGCATCTAACTGTGCTCTTAAGAGTTCCACGTCACAGGAGTTGTCAGAATTTTCATTGTGTCCATGTCATACCGCCTACGGGACTTCCTCGCCTGGTTTGATTTCAGAGTTTTCCTTCTCTTAGATGATTTGTCATCCAAGGTTAACGAGTCCCATGCTTGTCTAGGGTGGGGCTTGAACTGTAAACTATAACCTATAAATAGAATTCTTCAGCTGTGCCTCTTTTGAACGGTATTTTACACTCGACAGAATTACACACTTCACGGAAGCAATACTACAATGGCCTTGCTTTATCCGGTCCGTCATCGTGGCACACTAATCACTCGATCGCGGCACACTGATCACTTGATTGCGGCACACTCATCAATCCATCGCGGCACACTGATCACCTGATTGCGGCACACTGATCACTCCATCGCGGCATCCCAGTGGAGGGACCAGTCACATCAGACTTTGTTTCCACATTTCCCTCCCAAATGATTGTTTTCTTACCTGCCTTGTTGGGTCCTATTGACCTGCAGGTCCCGGATGCACACAGCTGCCACAGTCCTTTGGAGAGGTGCACATCTAACAATTTGGAGTCAGCTGCTGTCCACTCTGGAGTGGCCAGTCCAATGATGAGGAGCACCTCACCGATGGCCACAGTGATGAGGGCCACGAAGTACAGGATGGTTTGGCCACCCGGCAGGCCCATGCTTTTCTATCGTTTTCACAAAAAAAATGTGAAAATATCATTTTTTTTAGAGTTATTATTTAACATTCATAGTGAAAAACCAGGAATGACATTGACAGTGGTGTCCCTGATATCTTGCTTAGCCTTATTTAAATATAACCTTTTTAAAAAAAATATTTTTTTTCAAATATTCCACGAACACTTCTCTCTCAGACTGCATTTCAAGAAGCATGGTGACTAGATGATAACAAAGATATCTAGTTGTTGTATTCAATCACCATCGCTAATATCTCTAACACGGATATCTAGTGGTTGTATTGTATGGAGCTTCTGATAGATATGTAGCGGGATATGTATCGCCCTATTGTGTATCGCCCTATTGTGTATCGCCCTATTGTGTATCGCCCTATTGTGTATCGCCCTATTGTGTATCGCCCTATTGTGTATCGCCCTATTGTGTATCGCCCTATTGGGTATCGCCCTATTGTGTATCGCCCTATTGCGTATCGCCCTATTGTGTATCGCCCTATTGCGTATCGCCCTATTGTGTATCGCCCTATTGTGTATCGCCCTATTGGGTATCGCCCTATTGGGTATCGCCCTATTGTGTATCGCCCTATTGGGTATCGCCCTATTGTGTATCGCCCTATTGGGTATCGCCCTATTGTGTATCGCCCTATTGTGTATCGCCCTATTGGGTATCGCCCTATTGTGTATCGCCCTATTGTGTATCGCCCTATTGTGTATCGCCCTATTGTGTATCGCCCTATTGTGTATCGCCCTATTGTGTATCGCCCTATTGTGTATCGCCCTATTGTGTATCGCCCTATTGTGTATCGCCCTATTGTGTATCGCCCTATTGTGTATCGCCCTATTGTGTATCGCCCTATTGTGTATCGCCCTATTGTGTATCGCCCTATTGTGTATCGCCCTATTGTGTATCGCCCTATTGTGTATCGCCCTATTGTGTATCGCCCTATTGTGTATCGCCCTATTGTGTATCGCCCTATTGTGTATCGCCCTATTGTGTATCGCCCTATTGTGTATCGCCCTATTGTGTATCGCCCTATTGTGTATCGCCCTATTGTGTATCGCCCTATTGTGTATCGCCCTATTGTGTATCGCCCTATTGTGTATCGCCCTATTGTGTATCGCCCTATTGTGTATCGCCCTATTGTGTATCGCCCTATTGTGTATCGCCCTATTGTGTATCGCCCTATTGTGTATCGCCCTATTGTGTATCGCCCTATTGTGTATCGCCCTATTGTGTATCGCCCTATTGTGTATCGCCCTATTGTGTATCGCCCTATTGTGTATCGCCCTATTGTGTATCGCCCTATTGTGTATCGCCCTATTGTGTATCGCCCTATTGTGTATCGCCCTATTGTGTATCGCCCTATTGTGTATCGCCCTATTGTGTATCGCCCTATTGTGTATCGCCCTATTGTGTATCGCCCTATTGTGTATCGCCCTATTGTGTATCGCCCTATTGTGTATCGCCCTATTGTGTATCGCCCTATTGTGTATCGCCCTATTGTGTATCGCCCTATTGTGTATCGCCCTATTGTGTATCGCCCTATTGTGTATCGCCCTATTGTGTATCGCCCTATTGTGTATCGCCCTATTGTGTATCGCCCTATTGTGTATCGCCCTATTGTGTATCGCCCTATTGTGTATCGCCCTATTGTGTATCGCCCTATTGTGTATCGCCCTATTGGGTATCGCCCTATTGTATATCGCCCTATTGTGTATCGCCCTATTGTGTATCGCCCTATTGGGTATCGCCCTATTGTGTATCGCCCTATTGTGTATCGTCCTATTGGGTATCGCCCTATTGGGTATCGCCCTATTGGGAATCAATTCCCTTTAAGCGTGTGCGCGATTTTAATAATAACTTCTAAAATCAATTGACCTCCCCTTTAAGCATGTCAAGGTCAAAGCTTTCGAAATTAAGGCTACCGTTACGGTGGTAATGACACCATGGTGTCGCATACATATACATGTGAACAAACTGTCTTTTTGCGCCCCTATTCCATCTCTATCCCCATACTGTACTTACACTACAGAGAGAAAACAGCTGTGATATGTAGGGCAAATGATAGGTCAAATAAATTACAAGATTTTACAGTAGCAGCACGGTCCCACCTGTTATTACAACCTGATATTTAATTATTCCCGAAAAGAGAAAGCCTCACGTAAAGCTCCCAAGTGCCGTACTGTAAAATCGTATCAACAGCACCTGCATAACTCGTTTTAGAGCAGAGAAACTCTGAACAACACACGCCGAGAACTACTCCTTTACACAGTGTGTAGCATTTCTTAACACGAACAGAACACTATGCTAGTACACTCGCCTCTTTAGTATTTGATTTTCATTGCGCAATGGTGCGAGCGCCAGGCCTTGTCGTCCTTAACTCTAGTGACGATTTGCGCACTGTGGTGTGCAGTACCGTACTGCACTCTTGAATGGGAGGAATGGCAACGGTGGCCCTGGTGTTGATTTGATATCATTTATTAGGAGACACGTGAGATCGGATGAGGAGGAGGGATGAAGGTAGCAGGAGTGAGAAGATTATAGATAAAGAGTGACGGACATGAGAGGAGAGACAGAAAATAAACTGATGGAGTGGTATAACAAATGGGAGAGACGGAGAGAGAGTGTTTATCAGATATAAAAGTTGCTTCATTGAGTTGGGGGGGGGATGTAGTAGCTGTCATACAGGGAGATATAGATACCTTCCAATTAGGCTCTCTCTGTATTGTAAGTCTTGATGATGTAGAGATGGCGTATTCTACAGCAGTCAGCCCTCAGTCAGCTCCCCTGAGCTTTCGGTCGCGCGTCCTTACAGGGTGATACATTTTAGCCGCTCGAAAATACGAACACAAATAGTTCACTTCGTAACGGGACAGTGACAAGTGAATAACTGATCACTTCTGACAAGTGAATATATTCCTGCGCCAGTCCGTCACTTTGACAAGATCGGTCTGCACTGTCCTAGACAAAACATGAAGTCATATGATTTAGCAGAAATGTCTTGTTTCCATGAAAACACAGATGTGTTTTCTAAAACATAAAACCTTTAAATAATAGTATCCATAGAGAAATGCACTAAATGGATGCATCCATCCGTTTGTCATAAAGTTCAGAGAGGATTGCACCGCGTAACTCAAGCCGACATGAGAATGGAGATCTTGTATTGACACAACATAGACCTTGCACTGACACAACACGGGATTATAGATTTTCTACACGCCCTTGGGGAGGCCGTGTAAACTTAATGGCTGTAGTTATACCTGGCACTGCTCAACTTCTGTAAGGCTTATTCTCCATTGGCTTACGTAATCATAGTCAATTGAAAGTATTGGTAGCAACTGGGTGGAACTGGTGTGCTGTGGGTTTTTTTTTTAGGACTCTCATCTTTTTTTTTTTATATTCATGTGTTCCTAATTATTACTGAAGCAACGTTTGTTTGAAAATGTTTATTAAATAATTAAAATAATTCTTAAAAAAAGGTTTATTGGCTAGCTAGATATTCCCTGTATTTTGTTCATACGGTAAGAATTCAACCAGTGACATAAGAGCAAGGGACATAAGGACCAATGACATAAGGAACATTGGCATAAAGTCCAGTGACATAAGGACCCTGAAATAAGGGCCAGTGGCATAAGAACAAGTGACATAAAGACCAGTGGCATAAGAACAAGTGACATAAGAACAAGTGACATAAGGATCGGTGTTACGTACCGCTATAGTTTCGAAGATTTAATCTGTGTTAATAGTTTGCTCGCAGAAGAAACACTTCGTAATAAAAGACTGATCTAACAGATACTTAAAGAAAGCGATACCAAAGCTCTTGATACTAAAATTTAATTTAATTAATTCATAACTTTCTATCTATACAAATTCGAATGTGAGTACAGAGGCAGAGAACTGTATCAACTTGCAGCAAGCGAAGATGGTATAATCCTCAAATTATGAGTTACCGGGTCCGCACGATGGCACTGAGCTTCAGTTACACCTACATATTTAACTAGCATCTCTCCCGTTGCTCTCCGGTTAAGGGTAGCGTGATGCAAAACTAATTTCAGGTGTGTGCTAAAATGCACACTTGCATTTTTTAATTTATCAAAACAAAGTTGGGACTATAAAGATTTGAGGGGTGAGACTAATCTAGGACAAAAAGAATATCCCCAAAGGCGCCGCAACTGGAATAAGTTTAGTTTATGTTGGGCTGGGGCAGGGCTTGAGATGCCCCTTATCATTATAACAATGTTAGATGTTGAAATGACTGACATATCAATCACTTAAGCAAGTTCTCTATAAATAAAGGACAATTTAATTTTTTTTAAATATTTATTATAACTTATGCGTGAATAAACTTCGATCTTATTGTTAAAGTTAACACCTGAGAACCTGCATTGTAGCTTAAAATGTAAAATAATGGTTAGATAGAGGCTACGGGAGTGATCCCTGTAGATCAATCCGGTGAGGGCATACAATCGATGGTTTTTACAGCACCTAGTGAAAATCACGGCAACTCCTGCGACGTCTCTGGCACCGAGCTGTATTGATGATATGACTTAGGCTCTGGTTCACCGTCTACATGGGAAGGGGCATCTGCTGACTAGAAAACCGCTGATCCTCCATAAGAAACACCTCACCAAAGCTTTGTAGTTTCGCATAGAACCAGGTGGGTGCCGAAAAGTTCTCTTAGCTATTAGCAGTAAGTTTTGGGGCTCCTGTGTGGTGCTCATCAGTTCTTTTAGCTATTAGCAGCAAGTTATGGGGCTCTAGCGTGGTGCTCATCAGTTCTCTTAGCTATTAGCAGCAAGTTGTGGGGCTCTAGCGTGGTGCTCATCAGTTCTCTTAGCTATTAGCAGCAAGTTGTGGGGCTCCTGCGTGGTGCTTATAAGTTCTTTTAGCTATTAGCAGCAAGTTGTGGGGCTCTTGCGTGGTGCTCATCAGTTCTCTTAGCTATTAGCAGCAAGTTGTGGGGCTCCTGCGTGGTGCTCATCAGTTCTTTTAGCTATTAGCAGCAAGTTGTGGGGCTCTTGCGTGGTGCTCATCAGTTCTCTTAGCTATTAGCAGCAAGATATGGGGCTCTTGCGCGATGCTCATCAGTTCTCTTAGCAATGAGCAGCACGTTGTGGGGCTCCTGCGTGGTGCTCATCAGTTCTCTTAGCTATTATCCCTTTATCTTGGAATGCGTCTGCCTCTGTCTAGATGATGTGCTGGTTTCCTCAATGTATTGCTACTAATAATGTCACATTGGAGATAGCGTCGGTGGGTCGTCGAACGCGAGCTCTTATTACCCCCCCCCCGGGCACACTTCCACACGGGCCAGACGCCTGGTCTCCCCACCGCCAGACCGTGCGGAAGCACGCCAGGAACCTGTCCCCTGGCCTGGGGGACGTCCGTTCGACCGAAAACGCCGCGTTTAAAGCGTTCGCGGTCCACTCTCCTTGGGTCGGGACGGCTTTGCTTCCACTCCGTGGGAAAGGTGTTGCGTTACCACCTCCTACAGTCCAGGGAGTCTTTCGGTCGGGAATTAAGCTGGGACGAAACGGTCACCTAGAAGCGGCTTTCTCAGGGCCGCGTAGCTAAAATCATCGGTATGGGTTTTAACCGCCACCCAGACCTCATATCCATTAACGGCAACAAGTACAAATGTTATTGCGTTATTCCCGTTGCCTAGGTAGTACTAGTCTGGCACGCCACGAAGAGGCAAGCCCCATGTGACACTACCAAGTCGCCTCGGCGGTGCGGGTCCCTGATTTAGAGGCGTTGCTACATAATAGTCTACCATTCACCAGTATTGCTTATGTCTATCTATAGAGATCGAGTGCATGGCCTCCGTTAGATTGAACTATGCTAGTAGCTCTCTCCCTTTTCGCTCTTCTATTTCTTCGACTCTCCTCGCCTTGATCAAGACCCACTAGCGTTCCAGTAGGTCGGGCCTTCTTACTACACACATGATCTACACATTCTATTGTGTGTGGATGGTTACAATGCTGACTCCAACTTTGGGTACCGGTACAAAATAGTTGTGAAACCTCGCCAACGCTCCATAACGCGGTTTAACACTGAGACATGAGGACATGAGAGAATAATGTTGGCTTCTCTTCAATGGTTTTGTTTGGGGGCCGTCCATAAAGACGTCACACTATTTTTGACAATTTTTTTACCCCACCCCCCCCCTCCCCCCAGTCACCAATTTTGGACCCTCTCCTTAAATAAAGTACGTGACACTTAGAAAGCATTTTCCTTTTAATGTTTAAAAAGTGAACAACTCGTTATAATTCAATCTGCAGTAACACTCCCCTGTTAAAAGAAGACACTACTTAGTGATAACTTCTTTCAGAATAGCTCCAGCAAAACAAACAGTTAAACATCCTGTCACTATCAGCTTTTAGAACTATATCAGTAGAATTTTAAAAAATTACACAAATGTGTGATGTCACATATGATCCTCAAATCACATACACTCAAACATCTTAAATGAAACAAATCATCCAATCAAACATGTTAAATGTAATAAATCACATACAATCAAACATGATAAATGTAATAAATCACAAACAATCAAACATGTTAACTTGGTAAATACACATGAAATTATTTTTGCCACATGGACCTGAGCTAACAATTTAAAACTATTTAGANCCCCCCCCCCCCATTTTTTTAAAAAAAAACAGAAAATAAAGGCACATAACTCAAGAGGTCAAGTCCAGGTGGAAAAGTCTGGGAGTTTGCCTAAGATTTCTTAGTGAAAAAATACAGGAACGCCCGGCAGTGCACCAACCAGCCGGGGCTTACCTTGTTTAAATTAAGATTGTCTAGTTATTGGATTAATGACCTTGACCGATGCAGTGCAACAGAATCATATTCCAAAGAGATGTTAATCTTTTGTTTATTCCTAATATTTATACACCTGAATTTTTAGGTATTTTTGTTAATGATACAAATTATAAAATATTGGACACAGAAGGTTAGTCTTTTGCTAAAAGATACGCTCTTTGGGCGAGTTGTCTAACTTGAATTCGAGGTAGTCCTCCCCTTCGACACGCCGAGTGTCATCTCAACACGCGTGTCGCCCCGGCGACTACCCGGGATAAGGCAGCACGCGAAACTCGGACTTCGTGTTGCAGTTCTGTCCCAGCTGAGCCACTCCAAAGAGAATCCACTCCCCGTTGCTTGGCGCCCTGCAGTAGACTGGGGCACCCGCGTCTCCCTGTCGAAGGCAAGTTTTGACGGTTTCATGTCCTTTCACAGTGCATAAGATACAATGGAGAATTTTTTAAAAATTTTTTTAAATTTAAAATTCTAGAATACAAAGCACAAGAACGTTTGAATTCCTCTCTGAGAGATAATAGACCAACACACTCACACGAACTCATCATGCGAAGTTGGCACGAAGCACACAGGCAGATCCTCACAGACACACACACACAGTGACACACTCTCTCACGTTTTGGCAGTGGATATTTGCACCATATCTCTGACACACGTGATTATACAAAAGGGCGATTGAACCACAGACCCACACGGGCACACACTGACACACACAAACTGACACACGCGCTAACACCCACACACACTGACATAGGCACACACACACACACACCGACACAGGCTTGCCCAATGCACTTACATCACACAACAAGTTCTTGCCACTGACGGTTCTGAAGCAGTAGTCGGTGGGATTAGTGGAACTCTTGGGTATGGTAGAGCACCCAGTGAAGGAGATGGTGACAGACGTTTCGAATAATCCATCAAATCTTTGGATTGCTGAAATAGAAGTGTTTTTATATACTTATCATTTTTTTTTAGACAACTGCATCTCAAACATGACGGGCAAATTGTGTATTAATACTAATTCATACGGCTTGGGGTGGGGGAGGAGGGGTCGTCTCGCTCTTCCTTGCCCCAAATAACACACCATCAACAAGCCCCATCTTCTTAGCAGTACCCATACAACATTTGACTAACGTAGGGCTCGCCAAGTGTGGGGCACGAAGACACCACCGTTTCTGGGACCAGTGTGCGATGCCAACAGTTCGCCTCCCTGACGTTGTCTTAGCCTGATTAAGTAAAACTTAGATCCGTCCGCATCTCAGTGACCAAGCTCAGGTGTTGGACTTGCTAGGTCGAGACATGTGAGCGCAAACACGTCTGGCTTTGGCGCAGTCTGCCCCCATGCCCGTACCAAGATGTTCCGTCAACCCCTTTCTGTTACCGAGAAATGGGTTAGGGTTTTCAGAGTTGTTTTTCGTGAAGCCTCGGTTTTCGCCACTGTCCACTGGTTCAGTGCCCCTTTTGTCCACTTGCCATTTTGCATCCTCTCTAGGGCACACTTCCCAAACGACTATGGTTCGGCTCGCGGGAAACGCTCATTAGGTGGGCAGATAAAAAACGCTCCAAGGACTGTCTAAAAGCTTCCCTTAAATCCATGGAAATTGGCCTTGATCCGTGGGAGACACGACTGGCTATGGGCCGTGCAAGCTGGCGTGTCACACTCACTGCCGGGGCGAAACCCTCAGAGTATAAGCGCACTGCTCACGCCCAAAGAAAGCCTACGGCAAGAAAAAACAAAGTCGACTCAAATCCCAAAACTACGTGTGCCCCACGTGCGGAAAGCTTTCCTGACACAAATAGGACTGCCAGGCCACCTGTGGACTCATCGTGTCATACAGCCTTGGTCATCTTCACATGCGAAGGATGCACAACAACAACAGCAACAACAGCAACATGGCAACGGAGTGTATACATGCGCGGTATATAAATGAGTTGGCCACTATATTTGGCCTGGTCATATAGCTCCTGACCAAAGGATGGTTCGTGTCAAGTGTCAAGGTTGGCCAATATCCTTACATCTTATCGGATGTCAAGTTTGAACATAATCCAATTATGATTAGTATGTTGGGAGTATTTCCTGCTTAACCATTATTTAACGCAATGCGTTAAAACGTTTGTGTGGTCTTAGCAAAGATGTTGTTGGTTAACTGTCTGGATTGAACTACAGAAGCCCTACTTCCAATAGCTCCTTTAATCCTGACATATGTGTTTAACAATTTTGTGAGTAGTGTGTTTTTAAAATGTGTTGAAAATTGTGTCTGCTACTGACCCAGAGATGTGCTTTGTTTAACATCGGTCTAAATATTGGTTTTAATGTTTTTAAAATGCGTTAGCAACTTACATGAATTTGACCTTCCCCAGCTGACGACCTTGCAGTCCCCGAAGTTGACCTGGCCTGCCATGGTGACCTCATTATAGGGGCATGCCATTTCCTGGCACGGGCCGAGGTAAGCAGCCAAGTAGGAGTAGCTGGGATTTAGGTCAATGAATGAGACGTCATTGGCACCTGTAAAGGATGTCATGGAGTAAATGAGATCAGTTTATTGAAAGCTTTAGATTCTTTTTTCTCTTCAGCGCTGAAGATCTACTTGGGTTTCTGCCATTCCAGAGGTACATTTGATCTATTCTAACCAATCAGATCGGTCAGGCCTTTCCACTCTTTTATATAAAGAAACTGAGAAATACAATGCGCGATTTGTCCCGTTAACAAAGTTGGAGTTTGTCTAATTTTCACCAAATAAATATAAAACATATAATTTAGTTTGGTAACAATCTTTTATATATAATTACATATTTTGTATTTATGTATTTGATCTTCAAAATCTTAAACATTTCATTAATTAATAAATTTTTATTTAATCTGTAGAAGCTCATTTATTTTTAGATTGATTGATTTTATCATCATTTAAACGTGCTCGGTGAATGAGTTCACTTACCGTCATACAAGTTAAAAATTGGCGAGACTACTGGGTATCTTTGAACACCAATCTGAATATCAGGGCTGAAATAAGAGTTTCATTCCGATATTATAAATGAGATTTTTTATCAATAACAAAAACAGTTGTGAAAGATGACGTTCTGGTGTTCTTCTTACTAGGATGCTATTATTGGATTGGGGCAGTAACAAGTGTGTAGGATCACGTGTATGATCAAGTGCAGTGAAGTACAAAAAGGGAGGGGAGGGACGGAGTGAAGGGGCACCCACCCCGGGCGGTTACATCAAGGGCGCCAAAATCATCTTTAAAGAGGACTTTAATATTAAATTAAACGATAAATTCCAATGTACTCGCAAAGACAAGGGTCACCAAAATAGTTCTTTTACTTGTGCACCCATGGGGGCACATTACTTACAGATTGAGGAGCGCCGCTTTTCCTCGCCATGACCCTAATGGCACGTGTACTTGAAAATGATCACGGCACCAGGAATACCACTCATTTTTTTTTTTAAATTCCCAAGATTTTGTCAAAATGTTTCCCAAGATTTCCCAAGGTCATGAAAATAAATGATTTCTTTTTTTTAAATCTTGGGAATTTTCTTTTTTAAAAAGTGAGTTTTGGTCCTGAATGAGGTAGTGAATTCCCAAGATCTTGTCAGCCCTGCACGGCACTCGAACATAATCATGTTTACTTGAATACAATCAGGCTAAAATTAAGGACGGATGCCACGGCCCCTTTTGTGTGTTTATTATAGTTGCAGTGAATAAGGGTTTAGCTTAGGTTGAGGGATCGATTTAGGGTTCAGGTTAGGCATAAGGATCGATTTAGGGTTCAGGTTAGGCATAGGGATCGATTTAGGATTCAGGTTAGGCATAGGGATCGATTTAGGATTCAGATTAGGCATAGGGATCGATTTAGGATTCAGGTTAGGCATAGGGATCGATTTAGGGTTCAGGTTATGCATAGGGATCGATTTAGGGTTCAGGTTAGTCATAGGGATCGATTTAGGATTAAGGTTAGGCATCGGGATCGATTTAGGGTTCAGGTTAGGCATAGGGATCGATTTAGGGTTCAGGTTAGGCATAGGGATCGATTTAGGGTTCAGGTTAGGCATAGGGATCGATTTAGGGTTCAGGTTAAGCATAGGGATCGATTTAGGGTTCAGGTTATGCATAGGGATCGATTTAGGGTTCAGGTTAGGCATAGGGATCGATTTAGGGATACATTCGTGAGATTCAATAAAATAGTGGCATTCGTCCATAAAATTTACCTAAAATCATTTTGATTTGATCACGTGTTCCATTAAAGTTGAGGATTTAAACCAAAAAAAAATGTATAACTTACTTGAATATTACCCCGAACCCCTTATTTTGACCTCAACATTTTAGATGAAAAAGAATTTACAATTATGTATTTTGGTTAAACTTTTTGTGTTCTTTTTTTTTCGATTTGATTTACATGTGCCACAGATGACAACTTTCGACTTACACCATATTATTGGAGACCAGACCTTTGACGATCGCCTTGCAGCCGGCCGCCGTCAAGAAGGTGGACTTGTACGTCCCGTTGACCGTGGCGGTCGTGAAGACGGCGTTGCAGATGACACTCCCCATCGCTGTGATGTTGGCGATGCCGGAGAAGATGCAGTCGTCGACCACACGGTCGCCGTTCAGGATGCGAGACGAAACCTGGCACACTGCAGAGGGACCAACGACAAACGGCATTTAACATGAACCGCCAAGGTGAAGGCGTCAAACATCACTAGGACATGTAGGGCAGTTTCCAAACAAATGAAATGCATGACTCCCGTTAGAAATGATCACTTCTGAGAATAAAACTGAATTTTTTTTAAAAATAAATGTATCAAATTTCATAGAGAATAGAGCATGTGTTGTTCGTTTGACGGGAGAGCATTCTCCATGACACACATGCCAGCACACCCTCCATCAAACTAAGCGTGCTGCAGGCCTGTGTCCTGCAAAGGGAAACTACCACAAAACGTTGGTCTTCATTAAAGACATTTGCTACAATGGCTCGTTTAGGTCTAGATTTCTTTTAGTTGGCTTAGAGGTCAGTGCTCCGAAAATTGTATCTTTTTTTTTTTTTTTGGTGTGTTTTATTTGCTTTAGTTTCTTTGTTGTTGTTGTTTTTGTTGTTGTTGTTGTTGAGTCAGAAGCCACTCTTTTAAGTAGCATCTGTTAAGAAAATATTTGGAGAGCCGCATGAATTATAAATGAACAACTGCATAAAGAAGGAGCCGTGTATAGTCCTTATTTAAAAAAATAGCGTGCGGTCTGTTCAGGGCCGCATGTTGCCGACCAATCAAGCAGGCGGGAAGATTGGATGTGGATTTAACAAAATATACAGGTAGCTACAGCTACAAATAATTATACAGGTAGCTACAGATACAAATTTGTTCACAGGTAGCTACAGCTAAAAATAAGTTTATATTTTAAACAAATTACAAGTAGCTACAGCTAAAAATAAGTTTACAGGTAGCTACAGCTAAAAAAATATTTATATTTAAAAAAAAAAAAACTGGGTGGGCGTGTCTCCCTTCCATGCGACGTGTGTTAAACAAACCAATCAATTAGATTGACAAGAGGTATGAGAGTTCAACAATAAAATGATGAGATAACTACACATTACGATTGGTCAAACCAAAGAATTTGTCCACTGAGTAGCTTGAAAAGAGGCCTGGTGTGGTGTGGGGGGGGGGCGCGACCTTTTTAGCCCTTACCCAAAACTATATTTATTTACGCCGACGTTCCCCCCCCCCCCTCCCCCCCTCCCGTGATTTGTAAAGGGGAAGATTATAAACTATTCAAAAGGGTTTTATTGACTCTAATGTATACATCTACAACATGTCAAATAATTGCTAAGCATAAGATCAAGGATTAAAATCCTGATTTGTTTCTTGCTTTTGTTTTGAGTTTTAAATTTATTTGTATTTTTTATTTATTTTTTTTAAATAATTAATTATTGATTATTGTTTTGATTTTTCGCCAAACCAATACAAACTTAGGGGATGAGTCCAAAAGGCCGTAATGCCCCCCATATCTAGGTCTACAAGACATGACCTGCGGTTTGCCAGTTGCCGAGCCACTTCTAACCCACATGCTGGTTGCCATTATCTATCACACTGGCCAGAGCGAGATTTTCAATTTTACCCTATTTAGGATATTTTACCCCTGTTCGCCAACTCCTCTGTTCACCGACCCCTGTTCACCGACCCCTGTTCACCGACCCCTGTTCACCGACCCCTGTTCACCGACCCCTGATCTATAACATTTTAAGATGTTTTAAAAATAAAGGATGAAGATTCAAGACTATACTTTACACTTGACCGTGTAGAAATTGTCTCAATGGAGGTCGCATGAATTTGAAAGTGTGTTGACAGGGTGACTGACAAATGACTTACGTGATCGGTTGGTTGATAGAAGTGTGGGATTCTGTGTTGTCAGAGCAGGTGTGGTGCTGGGGAGCCCTGTCGTGGGTTGGGATGGACTTGTCGTTGGTGCTGCTGTAGTTGGTTTAGCTGTGCTGCTTGTTGGTGCTGGTGTAATTGGTTTAGCTGTACTTGTTGTTGGTGCTGCTGTAGTTGTTGGTGCCACTGTAGTTGTTGGTGCTGCTGTAGTTGTTGGTGCTGCTGTAGTTGGTTTAGCTGTGCTTGTTGTTGGTGCTGCTGTAGTCATTGGTGCTGCTGTAGTCGTTGGTGCTGCTGTAGTTGGTTTAGCTGTGCTTGTTGTTGGTGCTGCTGTAGTCGTTGGTGCTGCTGTAGTTGTTGGTGCCACTGTAGTTGTTGGTGCTGCTGTAGTCGTTGGTGCTGCTGTAGTTGGTTTAGCTGTGCTTGTTGTTGGTGCTGCTGTAGTCGTTGGTGCTGCTGTAATTGGTTTTGCTGCGCTTGTTGTTGGTGCTGCTGTAGTCGTTGGTGCTGCTGTAGTTGGTTTTGCTGTGGTAGTTGTTGGTGCTGCTGTAGTCGTTAGTGCTGCTGTAGTTGGCTTGGCTGTTTGGTGCTGCTGTAGTTGTTGGTGCTGCGGTAGTTGGTGTAGCTGCTGTTGTTGTTGGTGCTGCTGTAGTTGTTGGTGCTGCTGTAGTTGTTGGTGCTGCTGTAGTTGTTGGTGCTGCTGTAGTCGTTGGTGCTGCTGTAGTTGGTTTAGCTGTGCTTGTTGTTGGTGCTGCTGTAGTCGTTGGTGCTGCTGTAATTGGCTTAGCTGAGCTTGTTGTTGGTACTGCTGTAGTCGTTGGTGCTGCTGTAGTTGGTTTAGCTGTGCTTGTTGTTGGTGCTGCTGTAGTCGTTAGTGCTGCTGTAGTTGGATTGGCTGTACTTGTTGATGGTGCTGCTGTTGTTGTTGGTGCTGCTGTAGTTGGATTGGCTGTACTTGTTGATGGTGCTGCTGTTGTTGTTGGTGCTGCTGTAGTTGTTGGTGCCACTGTAGTTGTTGGTACTGCTGTAGTTGGTTTGGCTGTACTTGTTGTTGGTGCTGCTGTAGTTGTTGGTACTGCTGTAGTTGGTTTGGCTGTACTTGTTGTTGGTGCTGCTGTAGTTGTTGGTGCCACTGTAGTTGTTGGTGCCACTGTAGTTGTTGGTGCTGCTGTAGTTGGTTTGGCTGTACTTGTTGTTGGTGCTGCTGTAGTTGTTGGTGCCGCTGTAGTTGTTGGTGCTGCTGTAGTTGTTGTTGCTGTAGTTGTTGTTGGTGCTGCTGTAGTTGTTGGTGCTGCTGTAGTTGTTGGTGCTGCTGTTGTTGTTGGTGCTGCTGTAGTTGTTGGTGCTGCTGTAGTTGTTGGTGCTGCTGTAGTTGGTTTAGCTGTGATTGTTGTTGGTGCTGCTGTAGTTGTTGGTGCTGGTGTAGTTGTTTTAGCTGTACTTGTTGTTGGTGCTGCTGTAGTCGTTGGTGCTGCTGTTGTTGTTGGCGCTGCTGTTGTTGTTGGCGCTGCTGTTGTTGTTGACGCTGCTGTCGTCGTTGGTGCAGCTGAGGTTGTCGTTGTAGTCGGAAGGCCACATGTCAGCTTGGGACTGCATCTACACTCAAATCCATCGGGTAGTTCTAAAAAGTAAAAGTAAAAGAGTGTCGAAATGAGACTTGCGATTAATTAGATGCTGGCGTGCACCCTCTGACGCTATTGTAAGCTAAGAGCCTTGGTCCTACCTGCTTCACAGCAATCGTTCCTCGTGTCGGCCAAGAAACAGCAGTCGGTGGTGGTGCGGGCGGTGAACGTGCTCCTGTAGTTCTCAAGGTAGGCGGAGTAGATGCTGCCGCTGTAGTGAGACATAGAATAGAAGCGATTTCAAATTACTTCTTTTGCTGTGAACAAACAAAGAGATACAAGAAGAACTCCGCCGTCCTTTTGTTCAAATGGAAACATTAAGCCGGACAATGTATGGCTGTCCACGTGAGTTCACTGGTGGTGTGTCTTTCTCGTAACCCCCACTCACCCACCAATGTAATTTTTTTTTATTTAATGAGTGGCAAGCTTTTCAATTGATGTTGCAGTACTGTACTGGATAGGGTATGGGAAAAGGTTTGGATATGGTATGGAAAAAGAGTATGGGAAAGGGTATTAGAAAGGGATTTGGAAAGGTATTGGAAAGGGATTTGGAAAGGTATTGGAAGGGGTAATGGAAAGGTATTGGAAAGGGTAAGGGCAACGGGTAGACAGATTAATAACAAATCTCAAAGTCCACATTGGTGGTTACGGTATGTTTCTAGTATAAATAAGTTTAAGTTTCCGCAAAGGGAGGCCATTCATGTGAAATTTAGTAAAGATGATGGAAGTAATTGTGAGCCCTGATGGTGGAGATTGCGGCTGTAATCTTAAGATTATAAATTTAAGCTCAATGAGATAATCAAAATTAGTTTAATTACTTCTAAAGTTTACCAAAGGCTACAAATTAGAATAATTCTATTTTTTTTTTTAAATCAATCTAATTTTTGTACTTTTTATTGATTATTTTCTGTTTGTGTGAGAAAATGGCAAAATGTAAAAATAGATACAGAACAAATTTATTTCAAGTGACCGACATGTCGATATATATAGAAGAAATAAGCATTACACTAAACACGGCATAACTCTGGATTGAACAGGTTATACCACGTGGTATGACAAATATACACCACTTTCAAGAGACATGTTCTTCATGACGAGCAACAATCATATTGGATAACAACGTTGAACAGCAACAATCATGTTGGATAACAACGTTGAACGGCAACATAGATGTTGGATAACGTTGAACAGCAACATATATGTTGGATAACAACGTTGAACAGCAACAATCATCTTGGATAGCAATGTTGAACAGAAACAATCCTCTTGGATAACAACGTTGAACAGCAACAATCCTCTTGGATAACAACGTTGAACAGCAACAATCATGTTGGATAACAACATTGAACAGCAACAATCCTGTTGGATAACAACGTTGAACGGCAACATAGATGTTGGATAACAACGTTGAACAGCAACAATCCTGTTGGTTAACAACGTTAAACAGCAACGATCATCTTGGATAACAACGTTGAACAGCAACAATCCTCTTGGATAACAACGTTGAACAGCAACAATTATGTTGGATAACAACGTTGAACGGCAACATAGATGTTGGATAACGTTGAACAGCAACATATATGTTGGATAAAAGCGTTGAACAGCGACAATCATGTTTGATAACAACGTTGAACAGCAACAGTCATGTTGGATAACAACGTTGAACAGCGACAATCATCTTGGATAACAACGTTGAACAGCAACAATCATCTTTGATAACAACGTTGAGCAGCAACAATCGTCTTGAATAACAACGTTGAACAGCGGCAATCGTCTTGGATAACAATGTTGAACGGCGACAATCATCTTGGATAACAACGTTGAACGGCAACATAGATGTTGGATAACAACGTAGAACAGCGACAATCATTTTGGATAACAACGTTGAACAGCAACAATCATCTTTGATAACAACGTTGAGCAGCAAAAATCGTCTTGGATAACAACGTTGAACAGCAACAATCGTCTTGGATAACAACGTTGAACGGCGACAATCATCTTGGATAACAACGTTGAACAGCAAACAACATAGATGTTGGATAACAGCGTTGAACAGCGACAATCATTTTGGATAACAACGGTGAATAGCAACAATCATCTTTGATAACAACGTGGAATAGCAACAATCGTCTTGGATAACAACGTTGAACAGCAACAATCGTCTTGGATAACAACGTTGAACGGCGACAATCATCTTGGATAACAACTTTGAACAGCAACAATTATGTTGGATAACAACGTTGAACGGCAACATAGATGTTGGATAACGTTGAACAGCAACATATATGTTGGATAAAAGCGTTGAACAGCGACAATCATGTTTGATAACAACGTTGAACAGCAACAGTCATGTTGGATAACAACGTTGAACAGCGACAATCATCTTGGATAACAACGTTGAACAGCAACAATCATCTTTGATAACAACGTTGAGCAGCAACAATCGTCTTGAATAACAACGTTGAACAGCGGCAATCGTCTTGGATAACAATAGTGAACGGCGACAATCATCTTGGATAACAACGTTGAACGGCAACATAGATGTTGGATAACAACGTAGAACATCGACAATCATTTTGGATAACAACGTTGAACAGCAACAATCATCTTTGTTAACAACGTTGAGCAGCAAAAATCGTCTTGGATAACAACGTTGAACAGCAACAATCGTCATGGATAACAACGTTGAACGGCGACAATCATCATGGATAACAACGTTGAACAGCAACATAGATGTTGGATAACAGCGTTGAACAGCGACAATCATGTTGGATAACAACGTTGAACAGCGACAATCATTTTGAATAACAACGGTGAATAGCAACAATCATCTTTGATAACAACGTGGAATAGCAACAATCGTCTTGGATAACAACGTTGAACAGCAACAATCGTCTTGGATAACAACGTTGAACGGCGACAATCATCTTGGATAACAACTTTGAACAGCAACAATCATGTTGGATAACAACGTTGAACGGCGACAATCATCTTTAATAACAACGTTGAACAGCGACAATCCTCTTGGATAGCAACGTTGAACAGCAACAATCATCTTGGATAGCAACGTTGAACAGCAAAAATCATCTTGGATAACAAAGTTGAGCGGCGACAATCATGTTGGATAACAACGTTGAACAGCAACAATCATTTTGGATAACAACGTTGAACAGTAACACTCATGTTGGTTTACAACGTTGAACAGCGACAAAGATGTTAGTTGTTACTGTGCAGTGATGACATGAACAGCAACAAAGATGTTATTTGTTACTGTGCAGTGCTGACATGAACAGCAACAAAGATGTTAGTTGTCACTGTGCTGTGATGACATGAACAGCAACAAAGATGTTAGTTGTCACTGTGCTGTGATGACATGAACAGCAACAAAGATGTTAGTTGTTACTGTGCAGTGATGACATGAACAGCAACAAAGATGTTAGTTGTTACTGTGCAGTGATGACATGAACAGCAACAAAGATGTTAGTTGTTACTGTGCAGTGCTGACATGAACAGCAACAAAGATGTTAGTTGTTACTGTGCTGTGATGACATGAACAGCAACAAAGATGTTAGTTGTTACTGTGCAGTGCTGACATGAACAGCAACAAAGATGTTAGTTGTTACTGTGCAGTGATGACATGAACAGCAACAAAGATGTTAGTTGTTACTGTGCAGTGCTGACATGAACAGCGACAAAGATGTTAGTTGTTACTGTGCAGTGCTGACATGAACAGCAACAAAGATGTCAGTTGTTACTGTGCAGTGCTGACATGAACAGCGACAAAGATGTTAGTTGTTACTGTGCAGTGCTGACATGAACAGCAACAAAGATGTTAGTTGTTACTGTGCTGTGATGACATGAACAGCAACAAAGATGTCAGTTGTTACTGTGCAGTGCTGACATGAACAGCGACAAAGATGTTAGTTGTTACTGTGCAGTGCTGACATGAACAGCAACAAAGATGTTAGTTGTTACTGTGCTGTGATGACATGAACAGCAACAAAGATGTTAGTTGTTACTGTGCAGTGATGACATGAACAGCAACAAAGATGTTAGTTGTCACTGTGCTGTGATGACATGAACAGCAACAAAGATGTTAGTTGTTACTGTGCAGTGCTGACATGAACAGCAACAAAGATGTTAGTTGTTACTGTGCAGTGATGACATGAACAGCAACAAAGATGTTATTTGTTACTGTGCAGTGCTGACATGAACAGCAACAAAGATGTTAGTTGTCACTGTGCTGTGATGACATGAACAGCAACAAAGATGTTAGTTGTCACTGTGCTGTGATGACATGAACAGCAACAAAGATGTTAGTTGTTACTGTGCAGTGATGACATGAACAGCAACAAAGATGTTAGTTGT